CCCCCCCCGCCCCAAGATCCCCACTCCTGGCCCACGCGCCCTGCAGTTTCCCCAAAGGCAAATCTCAATCTGCTGGCTGGTTCAGCTGCCGAAACAGGCTGGCTCGGGACACCACATGCAGCATGGGGCGGAGGGCAGGGAGAGTGAAGGGGCCACACGCACGGCACGGCACGTTGGACGGGATTGCAGCAATTCCATCCAACTGAGGGGTCCAAAAGTCCAGTGAGGGTGCGGGAGACTCTTCCAAACCATCGTGGGGAAAACAGGGCTGAGAGAGGCAGGCTGGCGACTGCAGGGAGCCATCCTGTTCTGCAAGGCTCAGAGACTATGGATCCTGAAGCAGGAATTTGGGGTGGGAAAGTGCCCCAGGGCTGGGGTTAGCTGGTCCCTGCTGCATGGACAGACCCTCTTCCACGTGCAGCTCTCAAGCCCACCCTGGGCCCAGGATAAACTCCTTGCTGCAAAGCAAAGGACGTTGCCTTGCACTAGGTTTGTGGAGTTGGAGGCGTTGGTGTGGGGGTGGGACACTGAGTCTGTCTGTCCAGACAGGGCCTGCAAGTCTGGCCAGCACCAGGCCTGCAAGAGCCCTGCAGTGGTGGTATAACCCGCTGGGCCCAGCCGTAGCCCCCCGGGGCTGTCGGTACAAAGCGGAGCAGTGATACAGCTTTCTCCCTTTATGCTGGGGGCTTTGGGACTGCGTTCCTCCAGGAGCTATGCTACCAGCAGTGCCATGTTACCACTGTGCAGCACACCAGCACCGTGGGAATCCAGCTGGGGGCCTGGCCACCAGACAGGAGAGAAGGGAGCCACTGAGTGCTGATCGGCACAGGCCTACTCTGGCTGTGGTTTGGGGGCTCCGGGCAGAGCACAGCAGTAAGCATCCCCTTGGAGGCAGAGTGGGGGTGCAGGTGGGATCCTGAAGGAAACCCCTGCCGAGAGACGATAGAAGCATCTTGGCTTGTCTGGGCTGATCACCTTACTCATATGCACAGCACATGCCCTTGGACGTGTGCCTGTGTGACCTTATGGCAAAAGGGTGTGCAGTGATTGCGGATAACAGCCTACTGCTGCTGGCACCTAATGGAGCTACTCCCTCAGCTCAGACAGCTGAGACTAGGGCTGCCGTAGTGCAATCTTGTGACCCATGGGGCCAGGGGGTGGTTTCTGCACACACTGGCTCCAGCTGCGTCTGAAAAGTGGAGGTGAGGGGTGCAGCAGATGCTCTGGTGGGGGGGAGGGCGGG